AAACAATATGGAAATGAATGAGGGAAAACTGGATCCTACCACGTGATTTTCCAGCCAATAAAAATGCACCGACAACAATGGAAAACTGCGACACCATCAATATCATTATATCATTAGAATTTTATATATAGTAAGATTTCCAAATAAACTGGTTTTACAATTTTTTAATTTTTCCACTTTTACTTTTGCCTACCTTAATAAAAATTGTTTTTTTTCCTTTTGTTGCTTTTAAATATTAAATTGTGATTAATCATTTGCATAGCTTTTGAGACTTCATTTTTCCCAAGGTTTCTAAAAATATATAATGACAGCAGTTATTAAATAACAGCCTGCATTAGTTTTCATTCATTTAACTAATTTTTTTGAATTTAATTAAAAAATTAGTAAATTAATTAACTAAATTAATTTAAAAATGTCTACAGATTGTTGTTATTCAAATTAACAGTAATATATCATGCTGTACTATAGCGCAAATAGTGCTACTTTAAATTATATTTCCACTGTATTTTTTCAGCGTTGTAGTAGTGTTCAACATTTCGCATATTTTTATATATATAAAAATATACGAAAATACATATTGCAATTATGATGCATATGAAGATTTTAGCGATATATATGTATATATATATTATGACTACTATTATATATATGATACGATTATGTATTATGATACTATTATATATATATGATATGATTATATATATGACTACTATTATAGATTTTGACTACTATATATATACATGATACGCTAAATTATGACTACTTTTAATGTAAGTTTTTTTCCCATTTAATTTAAGCGCTTAACATAATTTATGCTAAGTAAAAATTATTATTACAAAATGCAAACACTATAAATACTATATTTTTATTCCACACAAATTTTAAAGATGCATTTTCAAATTTTTTAAACTATTCTACATAAAAAAAGATAGTAAGATAGTTGATAAAAAAAGATAGTAAGAGTAAAGAATAAATGATATTTGATGGAGGAAAAAAAATTTGTGGGTATATACACCATCAACCCGTGTACCCCTACCAATACACCCCTGCCTTTTTCCTCAATATTTTCATTTTCTTTTGTGTTGTTATTATTTTGATAAACTACTTTTAACGTTTTAATCTCGCTGCATTTTGAAATAGATTTCTGGTATCTTATCTTATAGACTGCTCGATTGCGTTCTGTACATTTTAATAGTCAACAATCCGAAGGAGGGGGGAGAAAAGGTTTGTTTACCAATACCATTACATGTACGTTTTACAGAATATTACGGAAACAACAAACTTTTACATTTATTTTTGAAAATAATTTTCAATAGAATAGGTAGTATATTTTATGTATATTTAATTGGTATTTATTTAATTGAATTAATTTTTCTTATAAGAGTATAATTATTTCTTAACGATGCATAAAAAATGGATTCTAATTTTGGAACTAATTAAAGTTCAACCATATCAATCAAGTAAGCAAATATATGTATAACTTTGTATTTGTATGTGCCATTAGCCGTTTGTTTATCTCAATTTCGAACGCGTAAGAAAATTTTGAGATTTCATCAATAAATTATTGTAAATGACCTGAATCACACTGAAAATATAATAGGTTTAATTCAGTTTTGTTTTGAGCATTTAAATGAAGAAAAAAATGTAAGTAGTAACTTTTTTGTGTCTTTTTATGATAAAGTGTTCATTGATATCTTTTAATTATGATTCCAATTGCAAAAGTAACACAGGTATAGTTTTCATTATATATTTGATTGTACTAATTCACAATCGCATAGTTTTATTTTGTTACTTTATTTTATTACTGTAATAAAATAGCGCGAATACATAGTTTAATTTCCATACTTGATTTTGATAGGGGCAATTAAAGTTAGTTGCAGATAAAATATATTAAGCTTAATTTTGTTATGCGTGGTTCGATAAATG